GTGTCCATAGTGTCATTGTGTCGCCTGCCAATTACGTAATTTTTCCGTTTTTATTTTATTGAAAACATGGAAACCCCAAAGACACTTTAATATGTTATGCATTTTATTAGACAGGTGACGAACGCACAGAGTAGCATTACAACAGAACTTTCAATACACTCAAATGTATCTAGTATAAAACAGTGCTGTTTTACCCCACATACGCATGACCAGAAGAAGCGGAAGCGGTCGACTGTGGCATAATAAAAGCTCTGCTGCTATCGAGCCGTGTATCGCGCTCGTCCTTCATTAGCAATCACTCCAGCGACCTCGTTTCGCTTCCACGACTTTTAGCCCCACCCTGCTTCATATTACAGTGACCTTAATAAGTCTTTAATACATTAGCTAATCAATGAACATGATTTCTGCCCGAGTCCCGTTGGATTGCATCAGTTGTGGGGATGAAGACGACAACTCCCATGATTCCACACCCAGTCACGGCATCATCAAACTACGCCTTTGTTTCTTGTTTGTTTTGAATATGCGCCCTCTAGCGACGAAAATTACATATTGTGCCTTTAATAGAAAAAAGATAAACAAAAATTATTCAAATAAAAAAAGATATATATTCTATTAGGATGGTTAATATGAGAAATGCACAACTGTTAGAGCAGAAAAATATTAAAAACTTCAAGTCAATAATTGCATGTAAATGTAATGTGACATTTCAGGGCAATTAACACTAGAGAAAATAACGGACATCTAAAAACACCTTGTGGTCGGCACACATTGTAGTGTGGGTCACATTTATTTATATTTTTTTACCTTGTGTAGTTTTGTTCAAAGTTTTGAGGATAAGTGCAAGTCATTCAACCTGTTCAGATTAACATCTGCCTAACTTTGACTAGCTTCCACTAAGTGACAGTTGCTGGAGATTTTGTTTTGGGAGGCATTTCTCTTCCCTTTTAAAAGCCGACAAGGCTAATGTACACTACTGTTCAAAAGTTATTCACCAAAGAATCTGAAAAAAGTTTCCGAAAAAATATTATGCAGCACAACCGTTTTAAACATTGATAATAAAAAGAAATGTTTCTTAAGCACCAAATCATCATATTAGAATGATTTCTGAAGGATCATGTGACAATGGAGTAATGGCTGCTGAAAATTCAGCTTTGCCATCAAAGGAATAAATTACATCGTAAAATATAGAACATTTATTTTAAATTGTAATAACATTTCAGAATATTACTGTTTTATCCTGTATTTTTTATCAAATTAATGCAGACTTGGTGACTTCTTTCAAAATCATAAGAAACTTCTGAACAATAGTCTACATGCATTTTATTATTTGCAGCGATTTCCCCTGCAACCCACCAGTGCAGTACAACATGAGGTGAAACATGAGATGAAACTTGCTAAAAAAATTAAATAAATAAAAAATAAATAAATCTCTATCATCCATCCATTTCATCTGGATCCACTCTAACAGTGGAATAGAATTTGAGAAGTATAGCCAAGTGGGGAACAGAATCATGCATCTGAAAAACCAGGGTTGTAACCTGCAGCTGCACAATTCATTTAGCAGGGAGGGGAGAGAGACAGCTCTCGAAAGACCTTGAGTGGCACATTTTATACTCTCAATACCACTCAACCCAGCTTCAGCAGACTGGATGGCACAATCACCACACCTAATATAACAGCCTACACCCAGCGCAAACACTGACAATACAACTCTCTCTATGTTGACTAGTGACTAGACAACCATAAAATAAATAGAAAGAGCAGTTATAGCATGTGAAAATCTAAACATATTCCTTACACTTTCATAGAATTTTTAAACTTCAATCTTAGAAAAGAGAAAATATTCATGCCATTTGTAAACTATTGATTTAATGTGACCAGATGGTGATGGATAGGTGAGAATCAGAGAAAGACAGACTTACATTTTATCCAGTTGTTTGTTGACTTCCTCGTCATTTTCATAGTCCTTACACAGCTGAGTAACCAGAGCTCCATAAGTGAGAGTGAATAATTCTGAATTCTGTTCAAGAAAAAGACAATGACCCAAAATGACCCACCACCATATTAATAATATCCACTGTGTTTACCTAAGAAAGACTGACACTGAATGCTACAGAATTTGACATTCCAACATTCCAGTGATCCTTTTTATGTATATATAATATATATATATATATATATAGTGTAATACAGCTTTAAATTTAGTTCCCCCCCATACATTAGAATGTATCCTGCTTCATTTTGTTTTTCTGAGCAAAAAATAATAACTATCATACATTTTTTTTACCATGATTTACAGAAGACCACTAAAATGTAATTCAGTGTAACAATATTTATATACCAATAAAGCTTGTTAAGCATATTTTAAACAAGAATCATTTGATGACATATAAAAAGACTATATTAAGGAGCACAGTGCAGCCCTCAAATACCAATTAACTTTAATGGGTTTTACCCATTTGTCAGCTAGAAGTTTTTGTAAGGAAGTGAAAGTCATTTAAAATATAATAACATTTAGTATGATCACATATTCTTTTATGTATTTTAATAAGCACAGGTCAGAACACGTATGTTGTTTCATTTTTACGTAAATATATCTGTTACGCTGAATGACCACGGGTTGTTACTGAATGACGTTTTGCTAAAGAGGGAAATAATATTGTCATTGTGCCCATAATTGCAATGTTTTAGTATTAGTCTGTATCATTAAATTCGTTTTAATAATATTCCTTAGAAAATGAAAGCAGAAGCAGATGTTGAAAAGTAATAAGCATTTTATTCTACTGTTCTGATGCTCTCTGCCATGCTTGCTTAGCTTGTCACTTTGTTTCTGACTTGCTCTGCAAAAATGGCTGCTTGCAGGTATATTTATGAATACTTTCTGTTTCCCAACATAAATGACATTATCAGTATGAGTATTTGAGGTGGAGAATCCCCTCAGTGAACTCTCTTGAACTTGTGACATACTGTAGTGAGGGGGGACTCTCTGTTCAGAAATATTGGCAAGCTATTATTCTCTATCATTATAGTTATCTTTATAGTTATTGTTCTTGGTGTGAACAGGCTTTAAGAGTGTCACCCAAGCTACTGGGTCTGCTTTTACTTTATTAGCTTTTTACAGTGCTAGCAGCTCTCTCTGTTTGTGGGCATCTAAAATTAATCAATACCACAAATTAAACAATACAAAAATGCATTAAATTAGTAATATTTAAGTTTAACACATATTTGTGTGTTAAATATTCAAAATTTATCTGTAATATAAATAAGATGCTAAAATTGTTATTTATACAGTGACACTGTCATTCAGTCTAATGGATGACACTGTGGTGTAACAAAGAATTTGCATTACACCAAATGACAAAAACATTACCCTAAATTAGGGCTGCACGATAAATCGCATGCAATATTTAATGCGCATCTTGTCAGTAAAGCCGCTTCTGTAATCAGCGGTAAATCTCCATCACGTGCGTGCTTTCACATGGAGCAGCATTTACTACACAGAGCCGACCGCTGATTAAAGAACCGACTTTACTGACAAGATGTGCGTTAAACATCGCATGCGATTTATCGTGCAGCCCTACCCTAAATGATGAAACATCTACTTCAGCTTATATTGCAGGCAATCAACTGGCCACCTATTTCAAACACTAAGCTTGACCTGTGAAGTTAATCACAATTATTCACAACTACTTATTTAAAAAAATAAAAAAAATAAATAAATAACAATTACAATAAAATAACAATAAAAGTGTTTTTTGGCATTTCATTGAATGACATGTGTTTTTGTAACTTAGGTTACCACACCATGAAAAGGTGAAATTATCAAATCTTATTTAGTTTATTAAATATTACTTCTCTGATAAACTGCATTTTTGGGACAAAAGTCCCCTGGTTATTTAAAAAAATAAAAAAGTAAAATAAAATAAAATAAAATAAAATAAGGTGTAGTCCTTTTAATATATCACAGCCAACACTTATTTGAAAATGCCAAGAAAACAAATATATATATTTTTTAACTTGGTATTTTATGTTTATTTAAAGATGTAATGGTAAAATCAAAGTCCGGACCATTACACTGAATGACAATTTTACAATTTGGAACACTATTTCCCCCATATTTTGACATTTTATTTTCACCAAAGTTATTTGAAATATGAAAGTAGACACTTTACTTGCCTTTAACACGTTTTTTTATGTATTTAAAATTACTTTTGTAAAATTAATTTGATGCGGACACTAGACTTGTGCCTGTATGCTGCGTGAAAGACGTAAACAAGCGCGGACGTGAAGCACATGGCGGAACATGTGAGAGACGCTCTGGATGAAAGCACCAAAATGGTGATGTCTCGTCTTTGACCCACTTGCTATAAAAAAAAAAAATGCTTTAACATTTGGTGACCGTTAATTTTGAACTGTGTTTTTATTTTTACATTCGCTGCAATAACAACAATAATGTTAATTATTATTTGTTAAATGAATAACAAAGCATTAACATTTAAATAAGATTAAAATCAAATAAATAAATGTCTGTTATCTATAGACTGTGGTCGAGGGCTCAAACACTGTTATAAAATACCTATTTTCTTAGATAAGAAAAAAGGAATTTCATAAAAAACAGAAAAACAGCATGTTTTGGTGGAGTCCAAGAGTCTGAGCTCACTAGTAAAATGCTTCTAATTTTGCATTTTGTAAATTAATACAACTTCTTTTCATTACAACTTCTATTATAAGCATAACAATTTGAGTGAAACACTAAAACTGAAGAATGTTATTATTTCTAATAGCCCTCTTTTGCTTTCATGAAAGAAGCACTTGGGCTGCAAATTAAAACCTAATGAACGTGTTCTGCTGCATGAATTGGGAAGAACCAAAGAGAATCTTGAGCTTAAATATCAGGTTTTAAATATGGTTTCAGACTTTTGAACCGCACTATATATAACAGAGAATGTGTCATCATGGGTAATATTCAGGTCTGAATGAATGAGGGCACATAGTGGTCTTGAGCGCCCTCTCACGACACAACATTGAGTTGTTACAGACATGACATGTTACATGTCAAAATGTAGCCAAAACATTTCTACAAAGCTTGCTAAACGCAGCTGAATAAATCTATGTGCGTTTCTCTGCTTTCACTACTGTGTTGTTTATACCGTGTTGAGTATATAGCAATGCCTCATATAACCAACTGCCCAGTGTAACGTTAATAATTGTAGTAAAACAAACTCCATGACACATAATGCATTATGATATGAAAGCATACATTATTCTGCCCAATGTATCATTATAAGTCCCTCAAGCGAACAACTATTTGCATTTCACATGATTTTAATTCAAAAGCCAGCCACGACTGATGGAAAGACTAACTCATGTCTGTGCAACAGAATCACTTTACAGGAATAAACTAACGCAAGTCTAGGTAACACGAATACTACACTATAACTGTTGAAAATAAGCAAACACTGTTCAAATAAACATGTTGTTTATCTGATGATTATAATAGCATGTTAGCTAGCTGTCCTGCATTTAGCTCAGGTCAGCGGAAGCACAACACACACTCACCATCTTTTTGCTGTCCGTGGCTCTGTTCGACTGCCTAGACATGTTGTCTTATATTACAGGTGTGTACAGATCGGTTACAGGTAATATTTTATTAATCTGCTCAGTGCAACGAGAGTCCCGTGATGTTGTTCCTGTCACTGTGATGGATCAGCTTCCTGAATCGCCGCTGACTCACAGGAAGTGTTAATTCGCTTTGGGTTGTGGGTATTGTAGTCAAACTGTAGTTCTGAACAGTTGTGATTCCTAATATGATTCACGGAGTCATTGACCCTGTGTTTATATGAAATTTAATCACCAATCCACAACACTATAGTAGTATGGAGCTGGAGTCATATGGCATGCATGGCATGTAGTGTGGAGCTGGAGTCAATGTATCATTTCATCGTTAGGATGAAATGATGTTCCAACCTCAAATTTAGATAAATGCAAAACAAAACTGCCCTTTCTGGAAACTAACATAGCTGTACTCGTGACTCTCTGTGGTCTGTAAAAGCAATAATGAAATAAGTTACATTCAGATCAGATCTATATTTTATGTCCATGAGCTAAGAGCCATAATAAGCAGAAAAATGTACAGTCAGATGGTCCGTGTCGCAAAGAAAACACTGACAGGTTGAATTCAGTGTTCTTGGATAATCTGTGGTCTCTTCTCACATGATAAAATCATTTAAACTCAAATTAACCGATTATGTCTATTTATGTATTATGTATGTATGCATGTTTATTTATTCTTTTTTTATTATTACAGTGTCCCTATAATAGCTGTAATTGGCATCTTGATTGCATCTCAGGTAAAGGAAGTGGACAAGAGAAGTGAAGCAGTGCAATCTGAGATTCACATGATAGGGGCCATTCACACAAAACGTTATGAAAAACACAAGACGTGGGCAGTGGAATTGGAAAAAACAAAAACAAAATGCCTTGAGATTCGAAATGTACATTTAAAGCATGGTAGCTTGTAAGGGCTCTTTCATCGACAGAGAGGAGTGTTTAAATTAATCATATTGGTGTAACGTTAAGTCGTGCACGAAACGCTGCAAAAGATGAGTCGTGAGCACAACGATCAAACACATCTGTTATGTTAACAGAAAAAAATGGAAAAGCACTTAAAAAACTTCTTTTAACTCAGGCGCATCGTTTTTGAAACATTAATGTAATATACAAGATGTGAACACAGAGGTCAAAGGGGTCGTTCACACAGAATGCACTTTTGCTTTGAAAGACATGGGAGGAGGGCAGTGGAATGGGAAAAAACACAAGGTCTCGAGAAGCATTTTTTAAAAGCTGAAATTTTAATGTGTGCACTGCATTTTTAGAACGAGACGTTAGTGCAACATTTAAACACATCTGTCTAAGGCATGTTAAAGGAACACTCCACTATTTTTGAAAATAGGCTAATTTTCCAACTCCCCTAGAGTTAAACAGTTGAGTTTTACCGTTTTCGAATCCATTCAGCCGATCTCCGGGTCTGGCAGTAGCACTTTTAGCTGTAGCTTAGCATAGATCATTGAATCTGATTAGACCGTTAGTATCTCGCTCAAAAATGACCAAAGAGTTTCTATATTTTTCCTATTTAAAACTTGACTCTTCTGTAGTTACATCGTGTACTAAGACCGACGGAAAATGAATATTTTTCATTTATTTTTCATTTTCATTCATTTAGCCGATATGGCTAGGAACTATACTCTCATTCCGGTGTAATAATCAAGGAACTTTGCTGCCGTACCATGGGTGCAGCAGGCGCAATGATATTACGCAGCGCCTGAAAATAGTCCCCAGCTAGGTAACTTCCAACGTGACTGGCACTAAGTTTGTGTAGTTGGTTATGTTGACAGAAGCTAGCCTATTTTCAGGCGCTGCGTGAAACTTTTTAACTTGAGCACTGCATTAGAACATGCACGAGACGCTGCCAAAGATGCAGGACACAAGCACAAACATGTCGTTATGTTAACAGAAAAACAAGGGAAAAGTACTTTTTAAAAGTTGAATTTCTTTTAACTCAAATGCCGCAATTTTAGAACAAATGATGAGAGACACAAGCACAAAGGTCAAGGGTGACCAAACATGAAAACATGGTGGGTATAGTGGAACGGGGGAAAATGCAAGGTCTTGAGACACATTTTTTAAAAGTTTAACTTGTTTTTAACTTAAGCGCCACGTCATGCGCAAGACGCTGCAAAAGATGCAGGATGCGAGCACAACGGTCAAACACATCCATTTAGAGCATGTTTACATAGAAAATCAATGGAAGCACAACACAGGGGATTGCAAAACCGGCAATGAAAAAAAAAGGCACAAGGCAATGAAAAAAAAAACTTAAAGTCAAAAACGTGCTTTTAAAAGTTTACCTTTTAAGGGGCCATTCACACAGAATTAGTTTTTGCCTCGAAAAACATATGAGATGCGGGCAGCGAATAGGTAAAAAAAGGCCTCAAGATGCATATTTTTTAACTTTTGAACTTGAGTTCCATGGTTTTTAGAACATTGTGTCATGTGCGAGACTGCTAAAGACACAGTGTCAAACTGTCAAACATGTCTGTGATGTTAACAGAAAAACAATTCATTTTAACTCAAGTGCCACATTTTTGGAACACATGTGCGAGAGCCTGAAAAAGATGCGAAACTCCAACTCGAAACTCAACAGTCATACATGTCTGAAAAACATGTTCAAACTAATTTTAACTCAAGCACCGTTATTTTAGCAAGTGAGCACAAAGGTCAAAGGGGCCATTCACACATGCTTTTACTTTGAAAACGTAAGAGGCAGGAAATGGAATGGAGGAAAAACGCAAGGTATTTATTAACATTAGGTTTTTTTTTACGTATTTATTAACGTCTTTAGTTAGACGCGTTTATTAAAATTTGAGACGCTGCAAAACAGTCATATGTGTATGTTCGCGCATTTCATATATATTTGTTTGAGCACTTAGTAGTAGTGATGGCGAGATGAAGCCTCATGAAGCATTGAAGATTTTCAGCCAAGTGGTTCACAAAAGGGTTAATTTCTAGAGGCTTCATTTGCTCACAATTACCACTTGGTGGCCAAAGAGTGTAAAACAAGCAGATACATTACAGATGACCTGATGTGGTCTGTGATACACTGTATTTTGCGCCAGTTAAGGCTTAGGCTTAGAAAAAAAAATCTATTTCCACATAGAAATTCATCTGTTTATATGAATATTAATGTGTATTTTCTAGTGGTATATAATGATTGTATAACATAATATAACATAACTGTATGGCTGTCGCCGGCCAACAAGTTGGTGTTTTTTCAATGTATGCTTCAGACACGGGTCACGACGAGGCGTTCCCCCATAGCGACCCCTAGAGGACGCAGTTCGAAGTTCCCATGAAAGGGAACCGTGAATTTACAAGATTCGAACTGCTTCCTGAACCAGTCTGGCTAAGCGAGGCTTCGGACGTCATAAATGACGTCAATGACGTCAAGCGATACAAGCCTCGATACGCACCTCACTGAAAGCTGCCGGGATTTCTCGACACACGCTCCGAAGCCTCGGCACAGAACGTAACATCACTACTTGTGTGACTGTTTCATATGTGTATGCAAGTGTTTCATGTATGCTTGCGTGAGTGAAGTTTGATTTAAGCTCTATACATTGCCTCATACTTTCATGTGTCTAAAATCACTCTGCCCTATTTCTCTAGCTCGCTTGTTCGCTCACTCTTTTTATTCAAACGCAAGGTAAAATAGCTAATTTTGTGTAAAAATGAGCGAATAAATGAGAAAATTGTTCAGATGTACAACAAACAGGTAAGATACAAAAGCTGGATGTGGGAGAGCTTATAGAGGAAGTGACATTTAAATTGGTATATTAATTGACGCAGGATTCGTTTTGCTAGGCCAATGTTTTCTACATTGCTAATTGCTTTCTTAGCATACAGACAATCTGTAAGTAAGATAATAAAACATTAAACACTTATCAATATTTCATGTAGCCTACATTTATTTATTTACCACAAAAAGCCTTTAGGATTCTTGATCACACTGTCGAAGTTTAGTCTATTTTATAATAATGACTTGCTCACTTTACATAACAGTTAACTTAATCAGTTATATAGCACATAAGAAACTTTTTTTCCGCAACAGAATGTTGCCCACTTAGTCCTTACCTTAAATTAGGTACTCATTAACTTCATAAATTGAAAACTGCAATTCTAAAAACCACTAGAAATTCCCGAGGGAACCCATTACACTATTCTTTTCTTTGGTTTTAAAGCTACAATCTAAAGGGCTCTATTTGTACTTACAGATGCGAAACTGAGGCATTTCTTTCTTCTTCCACTAGATGGCTGTGCAACAACATGTAAGTTTACAGGTGATGTAGCCTATAACATTTGCTGAAAGGGTTGTTATCATGAAGATACCATTGGACATGTATGCTCTGATGAAAATGAAGCAGGCCTGTACAATCTACTGTAATAAAGACCATATAGATTTAATGGCGTACTAAAACATTAAAATGTCTTTACATTTCTCTCTCTCTCTCTCTCTGTCTCTCTCTGTCTCTCTCTCTCTCTCTGTTTAGTTATGATTTAATTTAATCCAAAGACTAGGTTTTGATTCAATGTCTAGATGTAATTTTGGAGTTTCAAGGTAGATCATTATTGTACCCAATAAGGGAATATAATTTTTATATTCAAATATTCTAATTTTTAGAATATAAAATGATCTAATGTTTGTTTTGTCATTATGGAATTTGTAAATACCACATAATTGTTAATTAATTATATTATAGGCAGCATACAATATCCACGTCTTAGAATATTATCTCTGAACGCATTAGAACTATCATAAATCTGCTTAGCAGTATTCATATCTTGCAGGAAGAAATGTGGGATATTTCCTTAAAACGATTATTTGCTGAGCTCCAAAAATTGAGATTTGGACAACAGCACTTAATGTCACGCTGTGCTGAGTCAGCTGATCTCGCTTGAGGAGAAAAATTCTGTTTCTGCCTGTTCAATAGCAGCTCTCTCATTTTCTCTCCCGATGTTTTCTTTCTCACGCTGTTCAGACCGGAAATGATGGATAAGCTCCTCAGAACAGACTCAGAATAACTTAATGCACTCAGAGCAAATACCACCGAAACCTCAGAGTAAATACCAGCAAACCCAGCAAAACGATATTAGTAGTGTGTGCACCCACTCGTGTGATCATAAGTAGCAGAC